GGCTGCAGCCTGTGCCGCAAATGCGAAGGTACCGGCCCCGCTGCGCGCCGCGCCGGGGGGAGCCCTGTCCGGGTGGCAGCGGGGGCAGGGACGGGGTGGCCTCTCTCCGGGCAGCTGGGCCTGCGGGGGGGCTTGACGGGTTGCTCTTGTCAAATGCTTCCTTTGCTCGATGCAAGATAAAATAGTGTGTACTAACTTGTCATTTCGTTGCAAGCAGAAATTGGCACTGGCCAAATAACGTGATGCACCTGCCCTTCCTCTCTCCAAACTGATGGTTTAATTTTTGTCAGGGGGTCGAGCAAACATCTTTGTACTTCTGCTACTCCAGTCTTTAGGTTTGAATGCGTATATGACACAAGAGATGTTTCCGCCTTTCAGGAAGATTCAGGTATTTAAGAGAGTGTTCACCAAAAAGTGATGCCGAATGCACATGCAAGGATGGGTATCACTGCAGTGGAAATGGCTGCTCCCGCTGCGACAGAAACTGCGGCGTGGGCAAGGAGAACACGGGGAGCGGTAAGGTCACCTTTCCCTATTAGCTTATGCGCCTGTGTCCACTGCACCGCGCACAGGGCGGAAAGGGGAGCTGTAAGGACCTCAGCAGATAAAAACTGCCAGTGCTGCTAACCTGTTTGCATACTGCACGGGACACGCAGTCAGCCATACCAAAATCTGAGCCCTGTTGAGACTCAATTCACACACACTTTCGTTCCCTTCATGTGGCAGCAGCCTTGTGGCCAGCTGAGAACACTGGAGTTAAATGCAAGTTGCAGCAGCTTGTGCTAAAATGGTTCAGTAGCCAAGTATCATATATTGTCCATAGCTTCTGCCATGGACACAGGAAAAAAACTTGCCTTGTAAACTCAGAACAGCTTGTAAAATATTAATCGATGTCAAGTATTTATGAATGTGGATTGTAGTTAATATAAGAACAGATGGTAACAATGCTGTTTTAAATGCTCATTTTATGTAAATAGTGAATATCCGTCCTTGTCTTGTTGAAGGTTGCCAAACTTGCCGCTTTGGAACCTTTAATGATCAACCCAATGGCTTCTGTAAAAACTGGACAAAGTAAGTAATCAAAAAATAAATTGCTATTTATTTATAAACTGCTATTGAACTTGATTGAATTTATTTTCATGATTTTGTTTGTTTTTACCTTAAATATTTTCCAGATGCTCTGCAACTCAGGTCCTGGAACCCGGAACTGCAATGAAAGATGTGATTTGCAGACACACTTTAGATAGTCCTGCTTTAACCACTACTCTAGCCACCACTTCTCCTGCCTTTCCCTTTACTATCATGGTGCCAGGTGAGTCATCACATAATATGGTTCAATTACAGCTAAAGAACTATGACTTTTCTGAGACATACTAGAGCTTACAGACATATTTAAACCAAGAGGACCTTCTTATTATCCATTTCCAATATTGCAAAACTAATAGAGAAACAGGCACATTGAGGTGGCAGTAAAGAACTTGGCTAATTCAGCTGCAGTACGAATTTGCTCTGTAACACTTAAGAGAATGCTGTTTGCTTTGTAGGGAAGGACCCCCACATGGACATCATCAGTATTTCTCTTGCTGTAACTGGGCTGTTGTGCATACTGTTTCTGTTGCCTTTTTGCATATGCTTCAACATCTGGCAGAAAAAGAAACTATGTGCTGTCTTCAAAAAAAGTAAGATGGATACACTCTTAACACTCTTAAATTGATTTTTTTTTTCCTTTTTGAAACTAGATGGAGATTAGGAACCTAGGTTTACGTGCCTTCAGAAGATAGTTGCAGATAGCTTGAAAATTTTCTGTGGAAGTCAGACAGAGTAACTGAAAGGAATCTAAAGTTTTGGCATTTTTATTATCGTCAGGTCTCAGGTAGTTGTGGCTGTTTTCTCAGTGTTGCAGGTTAACTCTGACCACATCCACAGAGGTGAGAAAGCTCAGGTGAGCCCTGCTTATCCTGTTAGGATTCAGTTTTGTTTATTACTTCCAAGTACCATCCCTGGCACATGAGACAATAGCGCTTTCCAGTCCCATCTATAACATTGGTCCAAAAATCTAACAGTTCCATGTTATTCACTCTTCCTTTCATCCTCTGTGGCAGACAAAGACCTAGCAGTCCTTGGTGCACTGGGAAATAAAGTATGATAAATTAATGCATCAGAAATATCTTTGTAGAGAAACAATTTATGATTAAATTATTACATTACTGAGATTTTTACCTGCTGATGTCCTGCACTTGTGACTGAGAAAGGGTGGAATAAGAAGGCTGGATATGTACAATGTAATTTGAACGTATGTTTTTTTTCCATTAGTGTATACCACATTCGAACAATCAACTCAAGAAGATGATGCCTGCAGCTGCCGCTTTCCTGAGGAAGAGCAAGGTGAATATCATGACTGCAGCAAATCCACAGAGATCATTTGATGAATTAGGAATTACACTGTTTTGGTCAGCCAAAATTTTACTTTCTTCAAGAATGCAGAAAAAGAACCTGCCTACGGAATAGAGAGAGTATCAGAATCTGTGAACTTCAGAGTGCTTAACAGGCCAATCAGTAAAGGATAAAGTGGATTTTTTTATTTCCCAAAAAAACAAAATAAAAGCAAACCTGCCAAACAAAATCAACCAACATATAAAAAAAAGCCCTACACCCCACACTGTCTTGTTGACTTTTTTCTCCTCTTACGAATAGTGTTTCTAAGATACTGTACTTGATCTACAGATTTACATATGTTCACTTAAAAGCGGTAGAGGGGAGTATGGCTTTCTGGTGCCCCTTGTAAATGATATCTGGGCCATAATTTACATGCAGCCTGAAAGCAAGTAGCACACAGCAGAGCCTCACATGACACTGATGGTCTCTGTATTGTGGTTACCAACCATTTTCTTGAATTTGAAACCTGCAGCTCCTCTTCAAGCGTGGCTCGAAGCACAGAGTGTTGGGCTTGATTTACAGATACAGAGAGATCCCATTTAAAGCTTGCAGATGCCATCAGCCCTGGAAGCAGATACCAGACTTGACCTGCACACAGCTTCCTAGTTAGAAGAGAGGAAGCTATAAAAGTCTAGAGCCACAAAGTTTGATAATAGCTTGCATCTGCTGTTATATTACATAGATCAGCTTAAGAGAGGCAGTGGAAACACTGAGAAAAGCTGTGGTTGACTTGATCTCAGAAATAGATGTTACAATGCAGCTGGACTGCAACATCTTGAAGCCCTACATCATTCCACTTTGATCTTTTAAATGTTATAAATATATTATGTACCTTGCAGATGTGGTAAATGTAGAATGTGATACATTTCTGTTACTATTTTTGTAACTCTGAGGTTGGAAAGATTTTAACATCAAACAGTGTATCTGCCTTTTTGATCAATTACTGTTACCTTAGTCTTAAAAGAGAAAAAAAGAAAATGTATGATTGAGTCACGGCAGTGGCAGTAATATTTCTAAGCTTTTACAAAGCCAAATAAGTATCCTATATGTTCAATAAATATTATTTGAAAATAGAATGAAAACCTATAAACATGTCACCTAAAGGGTATTTTTTTTCCTGTGACTAAAACTTAGAAGAATGCTGTGGTCCTCAACAGAAGATTATTTCCTTTGAACCACACTTACTTATTTCGATAAAATTGTATATACGTGTTTACAAGTCAGCACGTTAGGAAATAAATGTAGTTCTGGAGCCTGAACTGCAAAGTGTATTTAAATAAATTTTTTTAATCCCTCTCCAAAGTCTCCTCTCCTCTCTATCAGTACTTTCAGTCATAAGAAATATGTGACAATCAAGTCAAATTCACAGCCTTAAATACATGGGCAGAACATATGAAAATCCACCAATGTATTTCCAAATTGTCACCCTTTCAGCAGTAGTGAATGTCTTAGAAGAATACAGAGGAGTTCTGCTTGTGATTAATTGCTAGTTCCCACATGAGATAGATAAGAAAATTAGTGTACACATTCTATGAAAACTCAGAACACTTGGTATTTTCTCCTTGGAAAGTGAGATTCTAGGTGGAATTTCATATTTTGCTGAATAAATCTGACTAAAATTACAGAAGCAGTCTTCCTTTAAACCAAAGGAAAGTATGGTCAATTCTGCCTGTGATTTCTGACAGAAGAGAATGAAGAAACTCAAATTAATGACAAAACATTAGCTTTGTTGCCACAAGAATCTGTCAACTGCATGCAAATATTACATTTTACAACAACGCAACTCTTTCAGTCACAGAAGGAGAGTACTTATTAAGTTTATACTCTACCTTTCCTTGTCTTAAATGCTAAGTCCAAATCTTCACTGAAATTCTGGGGACACTCCAGCATGTGAAAGCATAGAGTATTACAACATTTTTATATCATTCCAAGTTTGGGGAAGAGATGGGAGAAGGGAGGAAGAAAAATCTGTAAAAAAAAAAATCAGTTTTTCTCTCCAAATATACAAAAGAATTCCTAAGCCAAATATGTTAACAAAAACAGGACAGGTAGTCACTGTTTACCTGGCAACTTTGATCTAAAACTTAACTCTAAAACTACTTCATACTCATTCTTTAGACCACTAGAAATATTACCACTTGGAACTTAGCTTTCAAACTCTCTATTTGCAGAAAGTTAAACAGAAGGACTCTCATACTGTAAGCTCCAGTTTGTTACCTGTATTTTTTGATAGGTCGTGCACATTTTGGCTTCACAGGTAGCTGTGCTTGGAAGAACAGACTCTTTAATTCTTTAATATCTGAATAAACTTATCATGTCACCTAGAAATAATGTAGGTCACTCCTCCTAACCCTTTGAGCTGTATCTCTTGCCTGCTTTCTGTGACTTTCTTTTCTCAACAGTCTTTGCCATTTATTATGTAGCAACCAAAAGGAAATGGGAATACCATGACGACTCAAGCAGTACAGGTGGTTTGGGATGAGGTAACAGGCCAGATGCAAGCTTTTCACTTGTCTATTTGTTTTTCTTGGAAGTCAGAGAGTGTCCTACCAGCCAGACTGTGTATGGAGGCCTTGGTGATGTCAGACCAGAATTCTGTAGACATGGAAAAAGGAGATATATCCCCATTAAATATAAGTTTAAGCAGAGGAGCCAGCTGCCCTTTTTACTGCCTTCAAAACCGGTACCATTTCCTAGCACAGTTACTGGTAGCAGTAATTAAAACTTTGGTCATCAGATGTCTTCATTACAGTTTCTTGGAATAATTGTGTAGGTAAGGAAAGCAAAACATTTTCTGTCTCTGTCTCTCTCTCTTTTCTATAGACAAACAACATCTAGACATGCTTATGTATTTCTGTGCCTGCTACATCTGGAGAGGAGTCCCTGAAATTATTATAGCATCTCTCAAGAATATAAACATACTATAATTCTTTTAAACAGAATACGATTTCTTATTTTCAGTTTCTACTAGATTTTTCACACTTACTATGTTACTGCAGCAATTGTATCTTGGCCACTGTGTGCTCCTCAGATACCTCCTGCTTCAACATCTCTTCTCTCTCCAGATGCTCCAATTGCATGTCTATTTCCTACAAGCAAGAACAATGCTTACTGTTTAGTGAGAACTGGTCTTTCAAAGAATCTCCCAGAAAACACGTGGATTATACAGAAAAATCCCTCTAAGAAATGCTCACAAAGTTTTCCAATGGAATAGACGCTGTTTAAAAGAACTGAGAAAATAATACATGCTCCTATGCATTGCTCACCCTGGGTGAAGCTAGGCATATATGTTATATTTGAAAAACGTAACAACTTACCTTTTCCTAAAATACAACTAGTATGTGGCCTTCTCTGACAGTCATTCAGATACTAACACCGTACCCACGAATTACTCTATAGGAAATGATTCACTCTTAATACGTAGGAAAAGTTATCTATTTGATCGATTATTTGTACCACAGGACTTGACCTGGCCTGTATAACATATAAATTCAAGATAAATGTCACTATTGAAATTATAAAGTCTTGTTCTATCATTAAGGGCTACCTAATTTTCCCTCTCACTTACAAACAAGTCTTTCCTGCTATACTGATTTTATATACATATACATATATATAAAAAATCAGAACTATGTATTTTCCTGCTCTCTACTTTCTTCAGAATCAGTCAAAGGAAGCATTCCAGCCCAATTAACAGCTATTTTGCATGTTAGCTGTGTGTCAGAAACACATGTGTGTTCTTCTACATCCTTCATTGCCATAAAGATTACTGTTGGATATTGCCATTGTCCTCACTGTAACTTGGCAAGAGTTTGTTACGATACCACCTAAGTTTTCTTTCTCCTTCTAGATCCTGGATTCATGCCACTTAAAGCAACAGACTACAGATGAACACCTGAAATCAGCGCATATTTCTGCTGTTTGTCTGTCCTGTTTACATTTGGAAAGTAAACTAATTGCATTTGATTAAATGTGTGCAAACACCCATGCAAACACATTTACTTTAAGGATGATTTACTACAGTTTATCTTAAGATATACTGTTAAAGCTATTCTCCAACCATGTAATCTAAACTGAAACAAGACATTTTAAAACTGAAATAAGTGTTGAAGATACCTGTTTAAGTCAGCTTGAAACCACAATTTAGATTATGTTGCCTCCCTTTGATGCTTTTCTGGAAAAAAAGAAAAAGATTGCAGGGTGGGGGGAGCAGAATTGATAGAAAGGTTAAGTTGATAATTTATCTTTAAGTTAACAAAGAAATATTTTTATGAAATTCTTTCAATATCCACAGATAAAATCTACCAACAAAACCTCCCCATCGCTTTTTCCAGCCAAGGGAAGGAGGACTGACTTTAAGGAGTTATGGAGATATGCATGGAATGAGAGCATGAACATAAAGGCCATCTAAAAGCTAACTTACATGTTGCTTTCTGCTGAGGAGAATTTTGGTGTTCTCTGTTCTTCCAAATTCTTCATCTCCTGCTGTCCAAAGGTGGTCCTTAACCAGCTAGTTCTTCCACACTTTAGAAGAAGCTGGTCAACTGGCAATAAGACCAGAAAGAGAAGAAACAGAACTGTGCTGGAACAAACCCATCAGATATATGCCCTTTCCTTGTGATACACATCAGAATTCTACATTTCAAAATATGGAAACCATACACTTCCATACACAGGTGGACATTTCTTATTTTCTTATCTATTCTCCAGACTGCTCAGAAATCACAAGCTAGCAATGTCCGTTACTAGCCTTACTTTAAAAAACTCACACGAAGCAATCAGATGAAGCAGTTAAATATTGACTGTTCTTAGGAATCACCCTACACTATAAACTGTCTTGAGAATCTTGCAAGAAAGGATTTTGCTCTCACTACCTAACTCCAGTGTAGCACGTAACATTCAGTTTACCAAATCAGAAGCCAAAGATTTGACATCCACTTCCTAACTCTAGGTTAGACCCTGCTTTATTTATCACTAACTTCCACAGGGACTGACTTCCAGTCTAGTCAAGATCAATCAGAAAGTCAGCCAGCCATCATTGAGAAAATCAGTTAGCACTTGTTGTAGCAAGAATTCTTTGATAAACAGGAATCCATCTCTTAAACAGTGAAGGGAAGATTGTGTGTGGATGACTGCCAGGAAACACTCATTCATTTACACAATAACCTTGAAAGAAATGCTTTAAGCATTAGGTTGTCTGGTGAGACCTTGGCCAACTTTCCCCCCAGTAAGTACACAAATTTGTCCCAAAACCTGAATCATGGAGTCTGCAGAGATTCCATTTAATTAACAGAAATATTTCAAGTAGTGAAGAATTAAACAGATTATGCACTTGGAAAGTATAGAACAAAATTAGTCAGCCTCTGTGAGCCATTAATTTGCTGCCTATGCTATGCCTAAGTAGGATAGATAAATGATAATGATTACTATGAGGCCTCTTTAATTAGTCAGTGGCTCTTGTCCAAGTACTGAGCTTCTGTAGAACTGCCTGATATTTGCCCTCTAATTGTGGAGAGGGTTCAAAACTATATTGCCTTGCAAAAAATCCTGAAGCCCGAAGAATCTATGCTCTCCGCCCCAACCTACTAAGAAAAGGAAGAATCAGAAGCGTACTGCTGCTTCCCTACTGGTACTTCCTTAGTACTATCTTTCAAAATGGCATTTGCAGACTTAAGAGACAGAAGTATATCAAAGCAAAGTGTTCTCTAAAATCCTCAGATAGACAAATGGTTGTCTGGGCAGCTTCCAGGCAATAACTTGTACAAAAAGCCTATGTACTCAAAGGTGAAGGGAAGCAGGAAGCAATGCTAAACTCCATAGATGTGTTTATTCAAAACATCTATTTTCTTACAGAGATAGAAGATAATTAGCCTAGCTTTATTCTGTATGTTTGTTCATTTATGTAACAAGCACGACAGCTGTCTTGTGCCTATACAGCTGCATGGGCTCCAGCAGCACATGCAAGGACACTGACAGGCTCCAGGGTCACTGTCTATTCCCTGTCCATGGTCCTGTGCTAGCA